TAAGCGTTCCGTCGCTAGAGACCGATCGTCTGGCAGAGAGGGTTGATCTTCTTTCAAGGTGATCTTACTAGTATTCGTCAAGCTTGCTCTTAATATCTCATCAAAAACTTCCCATGTTCGCTGAACTTATGCTGAGCATATTTTTCAGCGCTTCCATAGATTTCTACGTTTGCATTGTCCATTATGGGTACTATTGCTGTTATTTACCTTGCGCATGAATGTCTACGGTGCTATAATTGTGTCAGCACGTCAGCAGATCATTGTTCCCATTGTCCCATATCTTTGGCGGAAAATTCATCGGTCGCATTGAAGCAGATCCGTAGCTTAAGTTCTTCTTCGCTCTCAAGTCTTGGCACCCTACGATTGTAGGAGCAACCGAATTTGATATCTTCCGTTGGTGTTTAAAAAAAGGAAAGGTTTTTGTGTGCTCTTGATGAGGAAGAATTTTGAATGATGTTTATTTCTTCCTGTTCCCCAGCTGGTTCTTGTATCATTAACCTCGAAATGAAATTGTAGCTCAACGTGATTCAGTGCTGGTAGGCGCACCTTAGTCCTCCGTCAGTGATGAAGTTCCTATTCATTATCCAGCAAACTGCTACTTTTCATAGCCGCACCTGAGTTGCTGTTGAGCAAAGTGAGTTCTCCTGTGTATAGATGTGGACGCGATACTTTCTTTTTTGTTGGCATTTTGAATCTTTAAAATACTCCAGATTTTCTTGCTTCTTCTTCCAAAGTTTCTGCGCGCATTGTTTATTCTATTCTCTGATTGATCTTTTGCATCGGTTTTATCTATGGAGCAATACGAAGTAAGTGTGCTCCTCAGCAGTTAAAACGAAGATGTTGCTCTGTGCATATCACGCACAACTAAATTTTGCGCGGAAATGACGATCTCCCCTTAGCAAATGAATACGTTGGCAAATTATGGTTGATTCATGATTCATTGATACAGTAACCCCAAGCCACTTTTGCGCCAAATATGTGATTTTGACTCGTTTATCGTCTCCCTGCAGTGACCCTAAAATGATTCCCCACTATAAAATATGGTATGATGTTCTTGATATGCATAACAAGTACTTAAGCAAATAACCCGTAAGATGAATTCACAGAGAATTTCATAACCTCAAAAACTTCAAAAGAAGCCATTGTTGGAGTAGCTCTTTTCTGTCTGCTGAACCTTCTACTTCTATGATTTTTATATCAACTAAAGCCACGCTGGCATTGCTTAATTCGTAGACACCTTGTAAAGCAAAACTTATTCTTACTAATGTTATGAAATTAATGTCCAAACTTCGGATTTTGTGGGATTTTTGTGGATTTATAGAAACCGCACAAACTTATCAAAGAACCCACTTAATGGAGGTTTATCACTGATCCTGTTGCAGTTTATATTTTCACGCTTAGACGATTGACAATGGCCACAGCGCATAATATTTATGATATAGAAAATCTTACAAACCGGGATAAAGGCAGAAAGATGCCTTGTGGGCACCGAAAGAGATCACAAGAAGCAAATATCGACTATCAGAGCCAATACATACAAGAGTTCACAAATCGGTGGTTTAGATCATTATATGGGAAGAGTGTATGTTCCCAACTCTTTGGTCTTAGAATTTCTAATTGATGGAGATGATAGACCTTGGTAACTGATGAGGGCGAAAAGCATAAAGAAACCAATTAGAGGACGTATTAGATACATAATAAAGGGCTGTTATATACCCGTTAGTTAGAACAACGAATATGCAATTTTTTGAGAGACCAACGGTAAATGACGAAGGATATTACAAAACTAAGGATGTCAACATTCAATTGCAACTTGGATCTAAACAGAATCGCACCGTGACTAGGGACCGAAGAAGATAGGTTAAACCTGGCCTATAAAAATTTCTTGATGAGACGAGGGCTGGTCATCGGGAGTTTCTGGGTTTTTCGCAACGATTTTCGTCCTAGAGACTTGAAATCGAGGGGAGAGTTCGGCACACTTCCAAACCCCGAAGAGTCTGCAGATCCACTGGCTGACTGCAAAAGTGATGTACGACTCGGTCGACAAAAGAACAGTATAACCTCAGACATTTATGATCTAACCCTTTGTCAATTGTGAACATTTATAAGTGTAAGTGGTTTTGTAAGTAGTCGTAAGGAATTTTAAACGTTAAGTAGTGACATCATAAAGTGAAATCACCTGCAAAACGGCCCTGATAGTTTCATGTCCATACATTGTGGCAACATCAAGCGCTGTTCTCCCATCCAAATCCTTTAGCGAAGGTTCAGCACCCATCCTTAGTAGAAGCACAACCATTTCTCGATTCCCCTGTTGCGCTGCTACCGATAAAGCCGATGCTCCCTCAAACAGAAAAATGTATGGACCTACCACCGCAATCAGTTATATTCGAAACACCTACTTGTTCATCAACCGAATTTGGATTGACACCAACAGTCTCCAGAAGGTATGCGGCCATTTCGAGATGACCATTCCAGACTGCAGTTAGAAGAGGTGTTCTCCCACCAGAGTCAACTGCTTCGAACGAAGCTGCTAACCGTCGTAACATCCTCGCGCCGCACATGTCGTTAATGGCGCAAACCTTCAAAACAAAAGAGTAATGGTAAATCCTAAACACTTGAGGGCCTCTCATTACGAAATGAGGTAGAGTTCGTGTCTCAAATCGTTAAAATCCTACCACATGAGCGCAAGTCCTCCCATGAGCATCTCGAGATGAACTGAATGCTCCCAAGGTAAGTAACAACTCAGCCATGGCAGTCTAAAACATCGGCTCAAACTTAAGCTCATCAAAAAAATTTTACTAACAAAGGAGGACCTTGATCTTTTTGAACAAACACAAAAATTCGTTGATATCACTCATGCATCAAAAATCGTAAGTTAAAGGTAAATTTGAAAATTGTGGATAATTTGAATCGTTAATTAACCTGTTTGTTAATAAGCAACGTATGTACTAGCGGCGTGCCTTCCATATCTTGTTGTTCCCAATCTGTGATGTGTTCTGCTAGCACCTAGAAAATGATTGTTGAAAAAAGTCAGAAGATCAAAAAAACGGGACTTACTCGAACAATTTTTGCATTGCCTGACAAAGCCGCTACTCGCAATGCACTCTGGCCATTCAGGGAGAGCTGCTCAACGGGAGCTCCAAGACTGAGCAATTCTCGGACCACCTGAAAGTCAAAGTTCCATAAGAATGAACATACGACGTCAACTTCAATGCTAATTGTACAAATATCGATGACAAGAGTTTACAGTGTACAGCCCAATGGTTTGCTAAAATTGACACTCTTTACCTCTTCGCTTTCGCCCTGACAAGCATTAATCAACGGATGGTTTCCAGATCGATCAGTAGCATGTACAGTGACTGAGGTGGCCAGAGCTCGGCAAAGGGTGACGTCCCCATGGGCTACAGCGTAGTGCAAAGCGACTGCACCATCGTTGTCCTGGAAAGGTTTTGTTTAAATAAGGACGGACTGTCACAGGAACGAAGCAAACTATGGATCTTTTGCGGTACCCGCCAACCAGCAAAGCTATCGATTTAAAATTGAGTTTGACAAAAAAGACAATTTTCTATGAGATACACAAAACTTTTTTTTTGGATAAAGAAGGCATCAATTCCCTGACTTATATTGAGTCGTCGGGAAGTCTTGCAAGATTTTTTTCCTCATTGTTACTGTAACACTTTAATTTCTCATAAGTTCTGATAGCACTGTAAAACAGTTAGGAAGTTTGCATTGCACAGATGTGATTTAGCAATTTGCAAATATAGGTTCACAACAGCAGCTGAGGACCACATGGACTGGAGGGCGCGCAGGAGTTCCCAAAGTCTCGCCGCTTCTTCCTGGAGCAAGTAATTAGGCGTCCTGGGGGA